TGCTTCCTACATATATACATTTCCTCAATGGTCACGTGGTCTACTTAATTCAGTAATGGTATCGCCTGTGTTTGCTCACTGGCGATCTGTGTTCAAACTCAAGTGTCCGCAGTGACACATTATTCCTATATAACATGAATGTAATCTATTACCTTGGAGCTAAAACTAAAATAATCTTAACTAAAATAAAATAAAATAAGTTAAACTAAACTAAAACAAAATAGATTTTTTTGATAAAAAGAATTACGTCTTGCTTGCAGAATTGCCAGTATAAACGGTTTTAGAGATTTGACTGATAATAGAAAAAATTATTACAATCAATTAAAAATCGTTTCCAAATAAAGCAAAGTATGTTGCCTATTTGAAATATTCAATGTAATCTATTATCTTGGAGGTAAAACTAAAATAAAAACTTCAACAAAAGATCTTTCGTGTCAGCGGCCATTTAATAATAACAGCGTTTCTACGTAGTAGATCAACACACGATCACATTTAACTTTATAATGTCTAAGAGAGAGATTTTTTCTTCAATAAATATTTAATCTTCGATTTAAAATATAATGAAACATATAAAATATCAAAACTTACTACTTTATTATTATTAATATCCTGTCACTTGACGAATGTTTCTTTCGGGTCTATTCCAGATAGATAGATATGAGCTGTTTGATATATGCATAGAGACAAACACATACGCACACACATATACATACATACATATATATATATATATATATATATATATATATATATATATATATATATATATATATATAAAGATAGATAGATAGATATGAATTAACTTAGATATGAACAGTGTTATAGATAGATAGATAGATATGAACAGACTGAGATAGATAGATAGATAGATAGATAGATAGATATGAATTAACTTAGATATGAACAGACTATTATAGATAGATAGATAGATAGATAGATATGAGCTGTTTGATATATGCACACACACAAACACACATACAGGCACACACATACAGGCACACACACACACACATATATATAGATATATATAGATATATATATATAGATAGATAGTTAGATAGATAGATAGATAGATTATTGGAAAATTCTCAATATCAGTGATAGCTAACATATTCATTTTTAAGGATATGAGTTTGTGACCCTGGGTTTCACATCAGACAAATTGGTTTATTTTATATATTTTTTAAATTGAATCTATTTATGCTTTATTATGTTTGATTATATTTGGTGGTAGGGGGAGGGAGGAGCAATCCTCCTCTGCGTCCGTTTTGGGAGGACACTCTTACACACACATACACATTCATACAGGTGTACGCATTAGAACACGAACTAACATACCCACATAAATAATTCTAGCTTAGACGCAGATACGTGCCCATGGGTTCGAGCACTTTTAGAATGTTTCTTTCGGTTCTATTACACATAGGTAGATATGAGCGGTTTGATATATGCACACACACACACACACACACACACACACACATATATATACATCTTTAATGAAGCATGTATAAATGAAGAATTGCTGCCTAAATGCACACACACACACACACATTAAATATATATATATATATATATATATATATATATATATATATATATATATATATATATATATATATGAGCAAATAGAGTAACTCAACTTGAGAAGACCTCTTCCTTGAAATTTATGTATATATATATATATATATATATATATATATATATATTTTTAAGCATTACGCCCCAAGCAAGGCGTGAAGCCACTAGGATGCAGGGGGTTGCAGAAGATTTGGAGCCAGAGCAGATAGGGAGTGATAGAAGAAAGGATGAGGAGAAGGATAGTGGGTAGATCAAGGTAACTGGAGATGTCGATTGACATTACATTTGAATAGTTGGCGATCATAGCTCTCAGGGAAACAGTAATTGGGAAGGGTGTTCCACAGGCGAGAGGTGCGACGTATGAAGCTATTGGAGTAGATGCCAGCCTCGTAGGGCGCTTGAATTCATGGAGTCTGGGAACCAGTGAAAGCAGCTATACATATATATATATATATATATATATATATATATATATATATATTTGCTCATTATATATATATATATATATATATATATATATATATATATATATATATATATCAGAATCATCGTTGAGTTAAAGTAAGTGAATGAACCAATTGGAGTAAAGTGCCATGCAGATTTAAAATTTTCCCACTTGTGACGAATGCAGCTATCGATTTTTTTTGCAGGCTAGCATGCTAGTTAACATTCATTGTCAGTCAGATGTTGGCTCTCACGCTGGCCAATAGAATCTTCCTGCCTATTCGTGGCAGCCAGCTATTGGCTCTCACTCTGGGCAGTAGAAAATGGCGGCAAACTACATGAAAAGTGCCGCAGGAGCATGAAAAAATCGATTATTTTTACTATCGATGGGAGTTGGAAAATGAAAAGTCAATCTTGGCCTTCCCGCTAACTTGGAGCATGTGCATGTAAATTTTGGTGCAAATCCGTCGAAAATTACGGCCGTGCATTCATTACACACACACACACACACGCACACACACACACGCACACACACCCTGCCTTTTATAGATAGAGATCAACTAACAGAAAATTCCAAGGTGAACAAGATTGCCATCATATTAAGCAAGTTTAAGGTTCATGCCTTCACGCTGGTGACGTTTCATTCATTTTCATGCGTTCATTACCTAAACGGCCGTTTTTACATTACAATTACGTATGTGTGCCTGTGTGTGTGTAAGAGTTTCATCCCAAAGACTTATTTTTTCTAGATTTATATATATATTTATACTTCAAAAAAATGTTTTTAAATATGACCTGAAGAAGACAGACATATAGTCGAAATATTGTCGAACATTGTCAAACACTCTTTTTTTCCTTTTCTTTAATCACCCTCTTTTTTAAGTGTGTAATAGTAATATTGGTAAAATAATAACACCAATATTAACAACAGTAATAATAATAATAATAATAATAATAATTATAATAATGGGACTTTACAATACACAGACACAAAACAATCAAAGCTAATCGCCCAGACACCGTGAACAAAGACCGCAAAAAGAAATATGTTTTTTTTCTTTTGACATGGCAATCCATGCAGATTGCAATGTATCTTTGAAGATCTTCAAAAACACTATTAAAATATAAGACGTTGAAATTGAAATCTCGAAAATGCGGCATATGGGAACATCAACAATCCCTGTTGTAGTTGGAGCCCTAGGACTGGTTGGAAAAGATTGCAGTAGACTAATTGAATGGATCCCTGGAAGTCCATGCCTCAAAGGAGATACAAAAAATTGTTCTGACGAAGGGCTTTATCTATGTAATCATTTTTTTTTTTTTTTTTTTTTTTGTCAGTGGAAAGTGTCATGACGCCATTTCTAACCTTAGGTCCCTGGGCGGGACCCGAAAAGAAATGTGTAAACGCCAGAAATCAAAGAAAATAAAAAAATAATAATAATAATAAATTGTACTCACAAGCATAGCTTACACATTACGAAAAGCTTTATCTATGTAAAATGTATGATCTTATTTTTTTATGAAAAAAGATCAGTTGAAAAAGTCATGAGAACATTTCTGATCTTAGGTCTCTGGTTGGGACCCAGAAGGAAATGTGTATACAACAGAAATCAAAGGAAATAATAATAATAATAATAATAATAATACAAGGACCTTGAAATGGATATCTCAAAAATATGGCGCATGAAGATATTAACAATTCCAGTTGTACTTGGAGCCCTCCGATTGATTGGAAAAGACTCCAATTTACTCATTGAAGGAATGCCTGGTAGAATTGTACTCACAAGTACAGCTCACACTTTACGAAGGGCTTTATCTATGTAAAATATGTGCAATTATTGTTTTGTTTCAAAACTACTAAGTGGAAATGCCATGATTCAATTTCTGACTTTAGATCTCTGGTCGGGACCCGGAAAGAAATGATTATACACCAGAAACCAAATGAAATAAAACAACAACAATAACAACAACAATAATAATAATAATAATAATAATAATAATAATAATAATAATAATAATAATAATAATAATAATATTAAGACATTGTTATTAAAGACCACAAACAAAAAATAGTGCCTCCTTATTGATATGGCAGTCCCTGCAGACTGCAATGTATCTTTGTAGATATTGAAAAAGCTGTCAAAATACAAGGACCTTGAAATAGAAATCTCAAAAATGTGGCACATGGGAACATCAACAATCCCTGCTGTAGTTAGAGCACTGGGATTGGTTGGAAAAGATTGCAGTAGACTAATTGAAGGGATTCCTGGAAGTCCATGCCTCAAAGAGATACAAAAAATTGTTTGGACAAGTACAGCCCACACTTTACGAAGGGCTTTATCTATGTAATTTTTCTTATTTTTTATTTTTTGTCAGTGGAAAGTGTCATGATTCCATTTCTAACCTTAGTTCCCTGGGCGGGACCCGGAAAGAAATGTGTAAACGCCAGAAATCAAAGAAAATAATAATAATACTAAGTTCTACGAAGCGCAACCTATATCTTGCGTCGGGCTTTGTCCATTTAAGATTTTTGGTTGATCGCTATCGTTTTTTTATTAAGTTGAAACACAAAAATCACGCCCTTCGCTTGCACTAGTTTATTGGTTAGGGTTAAGCAAATAAAGATCATATTTTATTATTAATATTATTGTTATTATTATTATTATCACCATCATTATTATTATTATCATCATCATCATTATTATTATTATTATTATTATTATTATTAAATAATATTAAATATTTAAATAAAATGAAAAATAATAATGTATTACACATGGTGGAAGTCTCATTCCACCCCAGCCACCCAACTTTTGGTGACGGGAAAAGCTTAAAACGTTATGCAGCTGACAGGCTCAGACTATACCCGCTAGCAGCACGAGAAAGCAAAGATTCTGTTTCAAGCAGCAGCCTCTCCAGTTGCCGCTGTAGCCGATAGCGGAGCCACGGCGCTAACGTGTCTTGTTCAGCCAATCATGTACCACCCTTTTTTTCTTCGAGAACTGACCGGACAAATTTGCAGGGTTTTGTTTTTTTTTTTTTTTTTTTTTCGTGGGGCGACGGCCTCACGGCGCTCGGGCGCGGCCAATCAGCTTCAAGCTGATTCCAGACGCCGAGATCTCTCCACTCATTCAACGAAAAGTCGCTATTATCCATTTGGTTGGGTCGATTCGCATCTGTCAAATCTTGCCCAATCTCTCAGTTTATCGATCCGTGGTGCCAGTTAACTTCGTTTACATCTGTATTATGCAGATCACATACATTTTAATACCGTTGCATTGATCTGTCTAAGAAATCCATAGATTGACGCGTAGCTATTAAAGAAAATTAGACGATAAATATTCACTGTTTTATGTCCTATGGAAAAATTTAATATTCAGAGCAGATTAAGAAATAAAATTGAAAGGTTAGGTCGACAATTATTTTATGACGAAAAATACATTCTAACTCGCTATTAAGCTACGGATCTATCTATCTCTGTTCAAATATATTTAAATTCCTATTTGAATCTATCTATCTATCTATCTATCTATCTATCTATCTATCTATCTTTCTATCTATAGCAGTCTGTTAACATCTATCTTTCTATCTTTCCGCGTCCATATCTATCTATCTATCTATCTATCTATCTATCTATCTATCTATCTATCTCAGCCTGTTCATATCTATCTATCTATCTATCTGTGATTTTCTCTCTCTCTCTCTTTCTTTTTATTCTATCTCATTCTTTTCATATCATCATGTTCCTTATCTCTCCTTACGTCTATTTTTTTTCTCTGTTTCTCACTCTCTATTTATATCTGTGTCTTAACCTATGTAAATTTGTCGGTCGCTCACTCAGAATATATATATATATATATATACATACATATGTAGGTCTGATGATTTGGATCGTATTTACGATTCCAATGGAATAAATTATGACCATGGAATATTAGTGTTTAAGCCTTTTTATTATATATATATATATATATATATATATATATACACATATATATATATATATATATATATATATATATATATATATATACATATATATGTATTCATATTTATATTGTTCTTTTTCTTTCATAGTTATATCTATCTAAATGTGATGTATACCTTTGTATTTCATTGTCTATCTCACCATATATATATATATATATATATATATATATATATATATATATATATATATATATTTACCTTGTTAGGTTTTTTTTTCTGGGCATAAATTGTATAAAAACTGTCCAAACCCTTTCGATTCTTCTTTTGGGCATTAGGAAAGCAGATTTTATTCTATTTATTTATTTATTTTTTACTGAATGTGTGGTCTTTTATATGTATGCCTATGAAGTTATAGGAATGCGTTATTTTCTGAACACGGTCAGCACACTCTGGCCATGTTCGTAGTTATTGCTACCCAAATATCCTATTACTATAAATTAATAACAAGACGCCTAAATGGAGAAGCCCAACAAAAGAAAATAACTGTACTCAATAAAATATTTTTTTGCAATAAGAAATAACGCCACATAAATAAGTCATTTCTAAAGGAAAAACACATACAGGCACACACACACACACATATATATATATATATATATATATATATATATATATATATATATATATATATGAATGAGCAAATAGAGTAACTCGACTTGAGAAGACCTCTTTCTTGAAATTTATATATATATATATATATATATATATATATATATATATATATATATATAGACAGAGGTTATATATTTATTATTTCCCTGACGATCCGTTTAGGTGAAACCTAGGTAGGTTTGTCTGGCTCACTAGGTGTATCTATATATATATATATAAGTCTTCTCAAGTCGAGTTACTCTATTTGCTCATTCATATATAAATAAATATATATATATATATATATATATATATATATATATATATATATATATATATATATATAGTGTGTGTGTGTGTGTGTGTGTATTTAGGCAACAATTCTTCATTTATACATGTTTCATTAAAGATGACAGACAAATTATTGCGATTAAATTTTCCTACCGGGACACTGTGTAGAAACTACCCAAATGTTATATAATTCCAAGCGCTTTCGGCTATACTTTTACCCATTATCAAGTATGCATTTATGTTTGCTTTTTAATTCGGTCTGTGCGTTGTGTGTATGTCTTTAGTGTTATTGAGATGTTTTATTTTCCGAACACATTGGCCGTGTTCGTAGTTAATATAGTTAAGCGTTGGCTTTTACTTTTTTATTATTAAGGCTTCCATTATTTTTATTTATTTTTATGTTTTTACATTCGGATGTAGTCATTATGCTTGTATTTTCTACTAGCGTGTTTCGGATAGAGTCTGGTAAGTGTGTATGTGTGTGTGTTTTAATGAGTTCTAATGGACTTGTGATCGGATGGTTATAACTTAAGTCGTCTGTTCAGGCATGTAGTAGTGTGATCGATGTAATTATAAATATCTCTTAAGGAAATGTTTCTGATCAAACTGAACACATCTATCTATCTATAGCAGTCTGTTAACCTCTATCTTTCTATCTTTCCGCGTCCATATCTATCTATCTATCTATCTATCTATTAAGAAATGGACAAGGTCCGACAATTTATTTATTAAAGACATTTTTTATGTTTAACGTTGTTATTTATAGATACACGTATTTAAGCAAATACTCTGTTTATGATAAACAGTATTAAATAACATTTACCGGCCTGAATGTCCGAGAAATTTTCATAGAAAATATTCGTTCTTTGACAGGATTCGAACCTGCATCCTATACGGAACCGTCATATACGCTGACGTGCCTTAACTCTAGGCTACAAAGAACCTTTCGGTAGACAAGGTCGAATTTACTGCTTATAAACTTCAATCTTCCATGAATCTTCAGCGTAAATGACGGTTCCGTATAGGATGCAGGTTCGAATCCTGTCAAAGAACGAATATTTTCTATGAAAATTTCTCGGACATTCAGGCCGGTAAATGTTATTTAATACTGTTTATCATAAACAGAGCATTTGCCTAAATACTTCTATCTATCTATCTATCTATCTATCTATCTCAGCCTGTTCATATCTATCTATCTATCTATCTGTGATTTTCTCTCTCTCTCTCTTTCTTTTTATTCTATCTCATTCTTTTCATATCATCATGTTCCTTATCTCTCCTTATGTCTATTTTTTTTCTCTGTCTCTCACTCTCTATTTATAG